TATTATTATTAATACTGTTATAGTTACCTTGATGCGGTGAGTCTGTCTTCTGAATGGCTATAGACAATCTTTGGCGCCCTCCGTACGTTGACAGGGGCACTGGTGGCAGACGGGGAGAGATTGGCGGACTCCTGGTCAGAATGGGTCACGTGGGGGGTCAACGAATCAAGCGCAACACGGCCTCCGTACGAATCCTCAGGATCTGATGACGTCAAACAATCAGGATAGGTGGGCACGTTAAGGTGTCCCGTTGCGTCTACACACGCTATGCTATGTCTACGAGGGAGAGCGCTGTCGTCTTTGTCTTCCGAACAGCTTCCTCCGGATGCGGTTGTCCTCGACCGGTTATTACTATTATTGTTGTTGTTGTTCTCCCCAACGTCGAATCCGTCGTCGTCGACGCCGTCGTCCTCTTCCTCGAAGGCCAAGTCGTTGTTCTCGTCTGTACCACTAGTGGAACTGCGACCAGAGTCGATCGTTATGTTCGAGATCTTCCGCAGTAGCGGCAGTTTGGTGCTGTTGAGGACACCGCCGGTGGTGGTACCACTGCTGCTGCTGCTGACAACTGTGTGAGGAGCGCTAGAGTTCTGCTGCTGCTGCTGTTGTTGCTGTTGCTGCTGGGGGTGGTGGGGGTGGGGGAGAGGGTGGTGCAAATCTGCCTGATCTTTCTGTTGTAGCTGCTTGCGGGTGGGGGAGGAGGAGTGCTGCTGAGGCTGAGTTGTTGTGGTGGTGGTGGTACGTTTGTTGTTATTGTCAACGACGAGCAAACACTTGTTACCACCGCCAGGGCTTTCGGAGCTGCCAAAAAGGGGGTGCTGAGAGTCCAAAAGTGAGGGTCCCGATTCGCCGTCGACGGCGACGTGCGAGTTACTATTCTCGGCGATGACGTCACTTCCGTGTCCCGACGGACAATGCCGAGTGCCGGAGTGGGAGGATCGCGGGAGATGCGAAGAAGTCGACGAGGGTGAAGAGTTTGTAGTTTGTGAATGTTGTTGTTGTTGGTTTGATCCAACACCACCGAGGCGAGGGGCGTTGTGAGGGTGTCCGTGAGGGCTGACGACACGCGGAGAAGAGCCCGGGTCTGGCACATGCTGCCTGAGCGGCGAGTCCTCCTGCTTCTGCTGCTGCTGCTGTAATTGCTGTCGCTGATGCTTCTGCTGATGCTTCTGATGGTGGTGGTGGTGGTGGTGGTAGGAGACGTCCGAGTCGACAATTCCCGAGTCGATGCACACACGACTGTGCCCTAAGCTGCTGGAGCTGTGAGGGGAGGGGGAGGCGCAGGGCGAGGGGCTCGAGGGGCTACGGGGTCCGGCCGACTTGTTGACCATGTCCTCCGGCACGTCTTGGCCCTGGGCGAAGTGGCAGTTTCTGGAGACACAGGGCCAGGGGTTAGGAGTGGAGGGGGACGGGGGGGAGGGGGTGCGTGTTAGTCAAACAAACAAAATGCATAATAATAATATTATTATAATATCGGTCAGCTGTTCATATGCACTACTGAGCCCAACATTTTGTTCACTTGTCTAAATTGCCGTTTCTTTAATATGTGCTACAGACGCAGCCACTGTCTCCCGAGACAGATGGAGCCGACGACGAATATGTGCTATCAGTTGCATGTCGTGGCTTTTTTTCGGGGGTGGGGGGGTTGAATTTTTCTTTTTTTTTTCTTTCAATTTTCAAAATCTCTCTTGTAAATTCAATCTCTAAATGTTAAAAACAGCAAGAAAAGATACATTGTCATATTGTACGTCCATTAAAAAAAAATAATGGAACATTATTTTCTATCTCTCCTGAAAACGTTTACGTTCTGGGCTTAGAACAGTTGCACAGCTTTCCGACGGTAAGCTCTAAATTTCTACACAGCAAAACTATACACAAAACTATACACATTACACGTTCTCAAAACTATGTTATACACTCTCAAAAGAAACTATTATACGCTCTCACAACTACAATATACAATATAATATGTAGTTAGGTGACGTCACAGGTTTAGGAGGCTCACGGTACACATCTCAGCACACATCGACAAAATATATCTGATTACACAGACTGCAAGCAACATGCATTATATCATTGAAACTGTAGAAGATTTGTGGCCCCATCGACACAATTGTGAGGCAGCGTGGTGGAATCAGGCTCTCGTCAAAATAATCAAAGTGAAGAAACTTGCATTTTTCCGCAGGTTTTGGAA